CTACCTGAGTCTGACAGGGGTTCTCCAATTCCACTTGCTTCATTCCCAGGCCCACATTACAAATCCCGTTAGGAAAAAAAAAATTAGTTATGGAACCACTATCAATCAAGACACTCGGATGTATCGGCGGTTGATGAGCAGCTTAAAGAACACCAGTTCCACTCCCCCTTGAACATGGCATTGCTGTTTGAGCTGCACCCAATGTTCCAGGTGAGAATGGAAGTTGACTTCCTTAGTCTTCTCCTGAGGCTCAATGTAAAGGACTTGAACTGCGGCAGCCTTGGTTTCAGCATCGGTTCGGGCTTCAAGAGCAGGTTGTTGATCAGATTCAGGCTCCTTGGAGGGGCCTGCAGCTGACTGTTCAGCTTTCCTTGTTGTAGAGAGTGTTGATGACTCTTCTACGCGCTTTGCCTTTTTCCCTGCAGACAGTAACAATCCTGCACAGTGTGCCCAGGCTTTTCACAATGCAAGTACACGTGCAGTTTGGATCTTCTTTCCCTGTGGGTGTTGCTCACGTTCGGGCGGGAGGGCGGCAGCAAGAACATCCTAGGAAGCGCAGAGAGATGTACAGCCGCAAAGAGAGAGAAACAGAAAGGGAGAGGTGTTGGCGGGGGGAGGAGTAGGGAGAGAAGAAACTAGACAGACACAGAGAGAGAGACAGAGATGAGAAGCTTCAAGGTGTGATCAGGGCCGAAGGACACCAGGTACACAACCTTCCCGCCCCCTCGCGCTCTCTCCCTCCACACATGCAAGTGGGCCGGGAGCACTGGGAGGATGATCGCCTACCTGCCTCAAGCACCTTCTCCTGACCTGAGCAGTTCTGTACCCAAGAAACTCGAAAGTTTAGGCTCCAGGTTCGGCCATTCACGTCGGCCCCCCTCCCTACAGTGGAGATTGCTTCCTGTGCTTCCTTTTTCAGCCCTTCATCTCTGCACGACCATCGAGGAACACAGGGCAACGGCGTGGACTTCTGACCAACTGCTGCACTTGTTGGTTACTGTTCTTCTTTCTTTGTGTGTGTGTTCTTGTTGTTTATGATCAACTACTCCAGAAAATTGCGTATAGCGGAGAGGAGAGAAAAACGCTGTTCAAACAGAAATAAAAAAGCGTTGCGGTAGCTAACGAAATGATATACATAACCAATCAACCAATCAGCGGGTCGCATTCAATGAGGTCTCGAATTGGCAACCTACTGTTAGGAGGTCTTGGGTTCGAGTCCCTTCGCCAGAGAGTCGAGTTCCTGGGCATATCCTCTCTCTCTCTCTCTCTCTCTCTCTCTCTCTCTCTCTCTCTCTCTCTCTCTCTCTCTCACACACACACACACACACAAACACCCACCCACCACACATACGTCCGAGTCGGTATGTCCGCAAAATGGCCCGTGTCAAAAATTTTCGTCATCAACATGGATGCCTACTGGTTCAGACACGTGTAAGGAGAGAAAAAGAGAGAGAGAGAGAGAGAGAGCGAGAGAGACGATGAGAATAAGGATCATCAACTCAATCGATGATTGCCCCCCCCCCTCCCCCCCCCCCCCCCCCCCCCCTTCTCTCTCTCTCTCTCTCTCTCTCTCTCTCTCTCTCTCTCTCTCTCTCTCTCTCTCTGTGTGTCTCGCTCCACCGTCTCTCTCTAGCTAAATTCTTCCATCATCAAATTACTTTTGCCCCGTTTCCTGACCTCACCTTCCTGCGCTGCGTTAATCGTGTGTGCGCGTCCTGTCACCCGCCCACTTCCCGCCGACGCAACCGCTTCTTCTAAAACCCCGCCCGTTCTCTGAGCGCACGTATCCACCTCCTTTCTGACTGTCATTACACCTCCTCGCCCGTTCTCCCCTCGGCTAGCTTGTGGGTTGGAGGCCTCACCCAGCGTTTCCCTTCACCTTCTCCTAGCGCACACCCCTGCACTCTCCTTACGCACCCACTTCAGTGTACAGACACGTGTCAGCAACTATGTATCCATGCATTTTACAAATTCGTCACAAATGCAACGCGGTTTATGTGTGAGCTCATTCTTGTATCGTCGGAAAAAACGCGAAGCAGACTATAGCCATGAGAGGAAGAGTAGTTCTGCACCGAAGAGCGCGGAAAGGGTAGAAACAAGCGGCGCGCTACGGTTGGAGTTCCTGTGAGGGAACGAGAAAAGGGGGTAGAGAGAAAGGAAGGGAGTAGGCAGAGACAGAGATAGAAGGACGGAGGGGACGAGAAGAGTAAAAGAGAGGGAAAGCGATATATCCCAGATAGGCAAGAGACGTACAGAGAAACCCAGAGGAGCAGAGAGAGGGAGAGAAGAGAGTGGGGATCCAGGAAAGGAAGAGAGAGGGAGAGGTTTGGGGAGTGGGAGAGGGAAGAGAGAAAACGAAGGTTTGCGACACAACTTTGTATTTGGGTGCCAGTGTGCAACCGAAAGCGCGTGCCATGTCAATCGTAATTACTCGACACAAGCCGTGCCTGACGTCACTCTCAGAGGTCGGAGCGGGAAACATCATAGGTCTAGCACTGCGCAATATATGCACCTACAGAAATAGAAACGAAGCACAGAGAGAGACACAGATAGAGAGAGACAACCCTTGACTTACCCATGACCACCTTTGCGCCGGATTCGCTCCGCATCAAGTCTACGATCGTTTCATCCCAACCCTTCTCCCTCCGTCCAGTTCAACCTTTAATACACACCTACAAACACGGAAGTGCCCTCGTTTAGAATCCCACGTAGCACGACTCAGACGTAAGCTCGCCGCAATGACAAGACAACAGCGAGAGAGAGCGAACGCGAGAGAGAGAGAGAGAGAGAGAGAGAGAGAGAGAGAGAGAGAGAGAGAGAGAGAGAGA